ACCAATAAAAATGTTATTATTACATAATGACTTGACCGTACTTACTTGTTAAAGACTTTGTTCCCGACCTAGTGATCGTTTGATCATCTTGTGGAAATGTTCTCGAGACTTCTTCTTTCAAAGCTGGATACAAGTTCTTTTTGTAAGACGATATCAACGATTGTTTCACTGAGTTTTGCTCTTCGAGCCGATCTAATCTCCCATTCATTTCGACTTGATCACAATATTGTTTTGTATCCGAAGTAATCCCTGAAAAAATAAACATTCCAACCATTTTTAAAAAATCAAGAATTGTATACTATATAGTAGTCAAAACCACATGATTAATTATCCCACTATTAACAAACCTTTTCTTTCTCCTTCAAGATTGTTTTTTTTTAATAAGCACAAACCTTGTAATAAATATTCAAAGAATAGGATAGAGTTGTCGTTATCACATATCTCATGATGCACGAGCTAACAAAAAGAAAGGTGTCGAACTTTACACCCCAAGTTAGCTGTTTCAAACTTTATTTTTTTTTCCCTTTCAAAGTAAAAACATAAATGAATTTTTCGAATAGATTTTGTACCTATACCATGGATCGGGACATGTAACGGTTTATATTAGTGGTGTAACCATGTTATATATGATCGTAGTATGCGTGTGTGAATTGTAGACTATACTTGGAAAAAAAAAAAAAAAAAAAGTCTTAGTACTTACCGTTAGCAAGATCAAGAACGAAATCAGCCGGGTTAACGAAACTTGAACCCGGCTGATACCCGATTGACCCAAAATACTCCATGACCCGACCCGAATCTCCGCTATAAATTGGACATCCTTCTGATAAAACCAACACTTTATCGAACATTCGATAAAGCCTACTCGAAGGCTGATGAATAGTCGTTACCACCGTCCGGCCGCCACGTGCCAGCGATCTCAAGGTCGCGACTATACGAGCTGCCGTGGTCGAATCAAGACCCGAGGTTGGCTCATCAAGAAGCAACAAACTCGGGTTCACAAGCATTTCTTGTCCAATACTTACCCGTTTTCTTTCCCCACCCGAAATCCCTCGGATCAACCCGCCTCCTATTACGCTGTTACAACACCGGGTCAACCCAAGATCCGAAACAACCGTCTCGGCCTGCTCTAGTTTCTCTTTCCGGGTCAGTTCTTTAGGTAAACGGAGCAAAGCCGTGTACGTTAGCGTCTCCATGACCGTTAAGTGTGGGTAGAGAACGTCGTCTTGAGTAACGAACCCCGTTTTCCGTTTAACGGAGCTTGTGAACGGGGCTCCGTTATAACTAACGGTTCCTGATAGCTTCCCTTGTAAACGTCCGGCTAAGGCCGTTACTAGCGTTGTTTTGCCACTCCCTGATGGACCAAGCATTGCTAGTAACTCCCCTGGTTTGACTATACCGCTTACACTGTTAAGGATTAATCGGTTCGGTTTTGGTTCTTGAGAACCGAACCAATTTCTTCCTTTCCCGGTTTGTGATTTGATACTGTACGTCAACTCCTCAAACTGCATTATATAACACAAATCAAAGAAAACAAAATGAGCTTAAGACGATACATCATACGTGAATTAAGAAGCTCTATAATATTAAGTTTGCGAACCTTGAGGATTATAGGACGTAAAGATTGACGTAGAACTGAAGATTGTCTTGATTGGTGACTCGGACCATCGTGGTCGTCGTCAAGACATGGTGTAACATGACTTGGGGAGCTAAACCGGGTTTCTTGAACAGGACTAGTTTCGTGTCGGTTTGCACCCGATGTTTTCGGAAAGCTAGATTCTTCTTGCTCATTAGGAGGCATCATCTAAGAGAGGGGAGAGAGAAGAGAAAGATTTGGTGTGTGTTTGAGTTGTGAAGTTCACATGTAATGTGATGTTTATATAAAGGAAATAAATGGAGGACTCTTAAGTAGGAGAGCGTATATACTTTATTCATTGCGCAATTAATTCATTTTCCACTTTTAAAATACAAATATAATGTCAACTTAATTGTTTATAGATATAGTAGAATTAATGGACAACAAGTTTTATTTTTCATGAACACGTAGCATGTTTTGTGACGTTGTCATAGTATGGAGAAAACATAAAAGTCTTTTTTTGAGAGTGACAACAAAAGCAAAGCATTTTTACTTTGAATATGGTTCATATTATATAAATGATAAATCATACAACGATAATTCTAATTTGAACAATGGTCAATGGCCTCTAATGCACCTATAGGAGTTAGGATAATTTCTACTTTTTTATAATTAACATAAGATATTTATTCGTTCGATTCGCTGAATTAGATGAGGAAACGTAGCTCGAAGAAAGAAGAAGAAATGAGCATTATTGTGAAAATAAAGTTTAGTTGGATTTGACATCAAAACAGAAAGCAAAGAACATTACAGTTTAAAGTTATGCTTCATTGCGACACATTTATTCTAGAGATTTTATTCAAAGATCAGCCTAACCATTACAGCTGTATATATATATACACCATAATTTTTATTTCCCACCTTTAGTTATAATTTTACTAAATACCCCACAAGCTATCTTTATAACACGTTATTAATAAAAACAAGTATCAGTTTATATCTAACATTCTTTACCATTTTTGTAATGTCTTTAATATACAAGAGAGAGTTTAGAGACTTCAAAAAAATATAAGCTCAACAACTATTAAGAGGTAAGATTTTTTTTTTTTTTTTTTTTTGCAAAGTAAACTAAAATAAGGTGACAATATATATTAGGAATATTAGATATCATGTGCAAAAGGACTAGGTGATAGATAATGTTTGATAATGATTGGAGGCAGAGGATTACTGCGACACGAACACATAAATAAAAGCTATTGAAATTTGCATTCAAACAACAAAATTCATGAGTATAAGGTTTTGAAAATTTTACATTTATATGAGCAAAATTGTATTTTTCCCCCTAGATTAATTGGGCCTCTTGTGAATTCGCCTCTTATGAATATACTTACAACAATGAAATTTTAGATTAACCTTAATTTTAACCGTATGGTTTTCCAAAACAGTATAAGTTTAAATTGTTCTTCTCATTGAGAAAAGAAAATAAAATATGAAACGCTTATATCCCTTTATCCATTCTTTTCCACACTAACAAAAAGGAAAAATGGAAGAAAAAAAAACTTACCTAGTCCTTATTTTGGATGGGAGAGAGAGGTAAGCTTTAAAAAGAATCTGATTCACTGAAATAGTAACTTATTTTGTATGGAAAAAAAAAAACATACGAGTCACACTGCATGAGGTAATAATATTACTCATCAAGAATGGAATACAAGCGATCATATGAAAAAGATAAAAAAAAAACTATATAGTATAATATACGAAATATAAACACTGTCAATTGTGATAAATCATAATTAACTCCGAAATATTAGTGGCTCCACTGAGCATTGTATGTTAAATTAATACAAATATATATATATATATATATTTTCTTGAAGAATTTTCAGAACATTTTTGGAGAGGAAAATAGAATTTTGTTTGTGTGATTGCTATAGGTGCTCTTCTGAACGTGGCACTTGCTAGTTCGATGCTAACGATTTTGGGAAAGATTGTGACTTTTCTTTTCTTAAAGAAAAAGATAGTCTTCGTTGAATCATAATGTGCTCCAAACCTTTGATTGTTGTCTTTTTCCTTAAAACCCATTAGAAAAAAGATATAAAAAAAAAATCTGATTTCTTTATCTATTTTTTCTTCAATTTTACTTAAATTACGAAGAAACTACAAAACATTGTAAAAGATGGAGAGGCGATTAACTATATTAATCGATTTTTCACAATATATTTCTTCCTAAGAGAATTATAGATTTGATAGGCTTTATGCCAAACCAAATCCTATACACTAATCATTCACTCAAGGGACTTCGTAATTTTATTTCAGCTTTAATGATGATACGTTTCAGTTGCTTTATTGTAATTATTATTATGTTGAAGGAAAAAAAGATATTGTACATGATTTTAAAGATTTTAAGCAATATATTATTATTAATAACTATGTTAAAAAAATACTACATGTGAGCTGATTGACCTGTTAAACGAACACAATATTGGAATATATACTGATCATTCAATTAAGGGACTTCATAACATATATTTCAAGAGAAATTTTGACTAATGTTCTTTTCTTTATACCTTTTTGTGAAATATCATTTTCTATCAGTTTTATTTTTACACTCTTATACATAATTACGATATCTTAAAATAATTTGTAGTTTTTAAAAAAAGTTTGAGTTATCTATTTTACATTTAGGGATATAGTTTTGAGAGTGTAAACTTTAGTATTTGGAGTTTTGGGTTTATAATTTAGTCATTTTGTATATAGAAAAGAGATTATTACTGACAACGGACAGCAAAAAAATGTATTTTTGCAAAAGAGTACTAAAAAAATATTAGTTTGCAAATGTTAACTCAAGTGTAATGTTTCTGCTATTTGATTCTTTTACTACTCCATTATTATAATATTCATAGCTTGAGCCAAAGTCCAACTTTTGTTGGGATCCACAAAAATTCTTTCCAGGAATCCAAAGTTTTCGAAGATAAAACTATCAGCAAGGTAGCCTATCAAGTCTCAACTAAAGAATTTCATGAATTTATGAATTTTAATGATATATTAATAAATTAATTTTTTTAATGATTAAGCGAAATATAATCAAATGTTTAACTGTTGGTGGTAATACATACATAGTAAGTTGGAGCCTGGAGGTCAGTTTTTATGAAGTTATGCTTCTATATATCAACTAAGAAAAAAATACATATAGTGTTAAGGACAATAGCAAAAGTTATTTGGTTGAAATGTATGCAAAATTGTAGTATATAAAAATGAGAGTTAATTACAAAAAAGGCACTTTCCTTGTGTTGTCCTTTCATTTTAGGTATTTTTCCAAAACATTTCCGAAACAGGTATCCATAGGTTGTAAATTGTCTACTTTACCCTTATAACAATGATGTCATATCTCTTCTTCACGACACAATTCGCCAAAAAAAAAAACGATCCAATTCTGAAGATTGCCGGCCGATTCTCGTCGCCGACAAGAGAAGACCTAGGAAAAAACAAATCAACGATGGATTCCACACATGCAAATTGGGAAGCGATTGATGCTCTCTTGATGCTCTCATCATGGATCTAAAATATTTTCTGAAGACGATGCTGTTGCAGCCAATTTATCTCCATACATCACCATCTCATGCTTCTTCTTTCTCTCCTCTTTTTCTTATCACTCACGGTTGATCATTCTCTATATCCGAAACTCTACTCAATCCGGTGACATTACCGTTATTGACATCCCTCGCTCCCACGCTCCTTTCGTCCTCGATCATTATTGTATTCTATTTCGCCTCCAGCAACAGGTGAATCTCCTCGATCTTCTGTTCAAAGTTGCAATCGATTAGCTAAAGTATGTGACAATTGAAAATTTCTGTGTTTTGCTAGAATTGCGAGCTAAAAGGGAAATTTTGTTGTTCTTATTGATTGTGAGTAGTTCTTAAGCATGTGGTATGTTACAAGTGCTTCTTGCTGGAATTTGAGAGAACTACTTACACGTTTTGCTTAGATTTGATATGTGTGATTTATGTCTTAATGCTCTATGTCTGTGTTTTCTAGTTTCTGTTCATTTACTATTTCCTTAGTTTATGTTTCTATTTTGAAGATTTGAGTTGTAGGAGATGAGGATGATGACCTCTGATACAGAATCCACCAAGTTTTGGGCTTATCAAGCTCAGGGAGATGAGGTTTGTTCCTTTACACTCTGTAGTTGTTTTTATGTAGCAATCTGAGAGCTATTTAAATCGGTACACTAATCTATTTGGGTTCATTAGTCCTTGACTTAGGGTTTAGTATTATCTCATTTAGACTTAATCATCTCATTAGCTAATATATGTATCACCTTAACCTTAACAATGTCACAGTGTTATCTCGTTTATATTTTTTCCATCTCGTAAACTAGTTTAGACATTGTGTTTGGGTTCCTCATTTACAACTTACTAGGGTTTAGTTTTATAAAAAGAAAAATATTCTCTATGAATTACCTACTGTATATTCATCTGTTTGGGTTCACTCATCCTTGTCTAGGGTTTAGTGTTCTTGCATTTAAATTAACATTGAAATATCTAAATCAAATTGCACATCAAACTCCTATCTTTAAACTGGCGTCAATACTCAAACTTTTAAACATATATTTTTCTTGCAGTCAAGGCTTGAAGAGCTTACCTTAAATGACTTTGTCAAGTTGCATAATGTAATCACAAGGGAATAAACGAATAGTATCCATGATTTGTCTGTGTCACCTGAAAACAGAACAATGACAACAACATGAGGAAGAGACACCATTGATGCAGGTGAAAGACGAATAGTATCGATGGTTTGATGGCGTCACGTGAGAAGAGAACAATGACAACAACATGAAGAAGAGCCGCCATTGATGCAGGTGAAAGACGAATAGTATCAATGTTTTGTTGGCGTATCTTGAAAAACAGAACAATGACGACAACGTTATGAAGAGACACCGTCGATGCAGGTGAAAGACTAGTACGACAACTCTATTAGAACACAAACCTAATCTTGTTTGTTCTTGGAGAATTTTGTATATAATGATCATCTCTGTAATATAAATTGTAGATTTGTAATCCCAAAACAATAGTCTTTATTTACAATCACAAAAACTTTAACCCTGAATTAAGTAAAAATCTACAATCTACAGCAAGATCATCATCATCATCCATGAATATGGTAGACAAGATCGAAAGCTCTCCACTTGGGGGCATGTGTGGGTTGAACTCAAACCCACTCCGCTCTCTCTTCTGACGTCATGTCCAAAATCCCTTCAACAACAACTCAAATTCCTGTCCACCAGCCAAGGGTAAAAGAGTCATAAACAGTGATGTTTTTGTGTATTGTGGTGCCTTCTACTACAGTAATGCCTAATCTGAAATCTCTCTCTTAACAAGTGCCTGTTTTGATAATACTCCCTAAAAATGATATCTGGGGTATATCAAATATAAAATATAATAAAAATGAAAACCAAAAGAAGAAAGCATTGCGACAAATGCTTGCAAATCATAATAACTATTTAATTATCAAAATAAAATGTCCAATCAAATACCAAAAAAAAAAGAGCACTATCCATCAAAACTCACACTAACCCACACACTTGTTCAAATGCTTAATATCAAAACACATTAATATCATTCTTATAATTTTGTAAATTTTGAACTGATCGAAAAATGTGTTATATATTAATAACAAAGTGTGCAAAATTTTATACTACTTTATAAAATTATGTTCTTTTAAAATCTTCTTTTTAAGTAATGAAAGAGATGTGGCCGTCGCCTGATTGGGAAAATTATTCTATAACTTTATTAAAAAGGTATAAAATTTGATATTCAGTTAACATAAATTGGACACATAATTTTCCCATGGCCAAGTTTTTTATATAAAATTCCAAGAAAAGTATGATCTTAATTTACGTGTTGGATCTTTGGCTTACGAATTATTAATTAGATTTTGAAAGAGATTATTCGCACTTAGAACCTATAAATTGAGATGCCAACCCTTCTGCTTTTATATATATATATATATATATATCAATGATATCAAAGAATCTGTGTGGTGTGGACAAACAGAAAAATCGTATTCAAGTAGTTTTTATCTGACGAAAAAAAAACACAAGTTTCCATCAAATATAGTAGTAACGATTGAAAATTAATCTGAATTTTATCAATTAAGAAAAAATTAGATGGTCTATCTTTTTTTTTTTGTCAATAAAACGAACTAAATAAAATAATAGGAGAAAATGTGTAAAACACTAAAAATATGTTATGGGATATCTTCGGTAGTCAAAGTTTCAAAGCTTTTGAGAACTTATATTTCAATCAGACCAAACAAAATGAGCACATAAAGTTGTGTATAACCAATAATGTTGTCAAAACAATACATTTTTTTTTTCTTTTTGCATGTTCTATAAAAGACCATGCATGCATTATTAAGGTTTAAAAAGCTTTTGCATGTTCCTCAAAGCAAAGACTCTAAAAGTTCGTGATGGTAATGGATATATCTGCAAAGCTCTTCATATTCATTAACTAGAAGTAGACCCGCGCGATGCGCAAGATAAATTTGATATTATATTTATAATAATTTTAATATATTTTTTGGAAATCAGTTTGATTGAAGCAGTTAAGTAATTTTCTTCATTTTTATGCACTATCTCATAAAATATTTTTTGTATTATGTTTTATGATTATTTTGTATTATGCAAATTGCTATCTACTGCATAAATTATTTAAAATTCATTATAAAAAATATTTCTCTACATAAAATAAAACAAAAAGTTAAATAAATTTTTAATATGTATTCAACAAATTCCATCATCAATTAAAATAAGCATTAGAATAATTGTTTTATTCAACTACATTAGGATACTAAGAGTAAGATTTATAGTCTTATATCACTACAAACAACTCTTTGAACTTGTAATCTGTACAAATCTACTTTAGGTTTGTCCCTATGTCATATTTTTTTTCTTTTTTTTCAAAAAAGTCATTGCTTATGAAATGTTGATTACTTTTTCCTTCGGTCTCTCAAAAAATCATATCTTCTAATATTTGATATAGGATGATATTATATAATGACACATTAATATTTCAATTTTTTTTTGTCAACAACCTTATATTAATCCAGAGCATCAAAATAAAATTAATTACATATACAATAAAAAAAACTAAACCATATGAATTCTTAAAAATAGGTTATGTTAATTAAAAAGAAAAGTCACATATAATTTACCATAGCCGCTTTGCTCTCTACCACGATTTCCGTGAAAAAATAATATATTCTAATTTAAATGAAAATTAAAATAATGTAACAATAACATTTTGGGAATTTATACATAGATAAATTATAGGACAATAATGAAAATAATAAAAAAACAAAATTTTAGAGAAGAAATGGAAAATATTAAATTTTGAAAGAAGATATATTAGGTTAGTACCATGTAAGAATTTATCTACCAAAGTGTTGATTTCTTTGTATGTTTGTATACAAAAATAATGGTCAATGTAAAGTTCATCTATTGTACTATGATCGTATAACCTTTTAAAAACCTTATAACCCGTTTTAAAAACATTTTTAAAACCTTATAAAACTTATAAAAACGATTTAAAACCATTTAAAACATTTTAAAATATTTGTATCGAATCTCTCAGTAGTAGTTATTATATAGAAGTTTCTTATAAACTATATAAAATTTATAATTTTTAATATTTAAACGGGGTATTTTTGAAAATGGATAGATGGATAGAAAATAGATATGAATTTTCAAAAAACAAAAATTATAATAACATAAGATGTACACCATATAGTCTCTATTTTTTTTTTACAATTGAGCTTTTATAAAAGAATAATTTAATTGTTTACTAAAACTCATACAAAAAAAAACACAAAGCTTATTTTTTATATAATAATTGAGATAGAGAATTAGAGGATGAAAGAATGAGGGAATGGTAACTGAGAAAATGAGAATATATAGGAAGAGAAGTGATGGGAGTTACAATTTCATAAAAATAATCATGGGAATCAATTATAATTGATTGTGTGCTGAAAAATTCAATGTAAAATATAGTTAATGCATGCAAATTTATATTATTTCAGTTTTTATATTAAAGTGTGAGTTTAATGTATATGACTAAATGTGTTTTGTGGTTTAATTGGTTTTTCAGTTTTATATTAAATTTTGAATTATATATATATATATATGCCAAGTGAACCAATAAGAAGAGAGTGAAACTTTCTTTATATATATATATGATTTCTGAATAATATGATAATTATTCTTTGATTAAATTTCATGATTTTATATTCTATTAGACTGTGTTTCTTCTCTCAAATGTTTAATAATAGTAAATTAAATAAATTTTGTTTTCTAGATTAAATAATAGTAAATTACATAATAGAATATTTTTTGGTTAAATAGTTACTTTATCTAAATATTTTAGATGTACTATTTTATTATACTGAAAAACAATCAAACTTTCTCTAATTTCATTACTTACCATAGATTTCACCATGCTAAAGTAAAAGAAAAAAAACAATCTCTTTAATTATTTTATTATAAACTTAGATTTCAAAAATTATGAGAATATGTTATAAATAATTTATTACCCATATTAGTAACTTTAGGAAAAATACTTTAAAAGGAGGAGGAAATTTTGATGTGATTTTTTAACTTTAAATCTTAAGGAAAAAAACTCATACCAATTTTCTTTGAATACAAAGAAAAACATTTTAACTACTCCATTTTATGTTTAGCTTATATGATATTTAATTTAAATAGAAATTAAATTAGGGAAAATATATTTTTGCAACAATGACACTTTTTTAAAAAACAAACAATACATATCTTATAACTTACAACATAATATCACAAATACATAATTTAAAATGTTAAACTAAAAATTAATAAAAGTGACACGTCAGGAATATAGAGCGTCAAATGTCGCTTTGTGAGGCAAAGTTAGAAGAAACCTTGTCTTATTATATAAGATATCTAGATCAATGACATGTTAAATATATATATATTTTATATGTCTTATTCTTGTATCCATTGATGAATTTTGAATCTATAACGATTGATGGATATGTGATAATAGGTAAAGAAATTGTCAATTTGTAAGGCTAGATTGATGACGACGAAACAAAATATAATATCGTAGCTACATCAAAACAAACACACCTTATATGAACATTTGTATAGTAAATTGTTCTAACATAAACATTACTCGTTTAAAATGTTCACAAAGTAACATTGCAGAAAGATAATTTGTTTGGTAGTAAAAAAGATTCAAAAAGCTCGAGAGCCTCTGGTACATGTCTCTACAAAAGCATTGTCTGAATGCTCAAAATCATATGCACATGTTGTAGTAAAGTGAAGCATTCACTTACAATGCTATGAGACCATCAATGCAACCTAAGGCCTTAGGGTAAAATATCCATTAGATCTGTTTGTTTTGATATAAGTCGTAGGTCCAAAAACTTTAGATATCTATAATGTTTCAAGTAAAGCAAACAGTAAAATTTAGTTTCATTCAAAACAAAACTTATGTTACAAAGTCAAGATATCCACTTCGATCTGTTACTTAGTTATGGTTATGGAGCAGAACACCGGTATAAAAATTTATGAACTATCCCCTTCGTGATGAGTTCTAATTAATGCAACCACTAAAATGTAAGGGGGGATTAAGTTTTCTAGACAATGTAAATAAACCAATGAACTTGCTTTATTTTTACACACACTGACATACACACAGAACACTAGCACAAGTGTAGTTAGATTGTTGACAAAAGAAAGTGTAGATAGATTCTAGAGCATCTTCGGTCGGCACGAATGTCCCACCATAAGTTCGGTTCACTACTACTGTGCAGTACTACTCCAATTTGCAAGTATTTGTCCTTTTCTCATCAGTTTACACGTAAACATACACAATGTTCTTCACTTGTAGTAATTAGGGTCCAAGAGACAATGACTACACATCATCCCCTATATATAATATTTCCTTACATATTTTGTAACCAAAAGAGGCCAAACGCAGAAGTAGAAAAGTACCACACTCAAGGTTATGCTGATAAATATAGCAATTTTTTAGTCTTCTTCTAAAAACACGTTGTGTGATCTAGAAACA